CATGTGGTTTTGGAAGGTCTTGCACGTTGCACTCTGTTGGGCAGTTTTATGTCAGGCACACAGGCTCATAAAGAAACCAGCCAAGACCGGTAGGGTTTACGCAGAGATCCTCGAGGCCAGCGGCAGCACATGTGTTCTGCTTTTTACCCTTCGGCCCACACTGGAGGCGCTTCTAACTCTATTATTGGACGGGCAAGAATGCAACTGATCTCGCCAAATCTATGCTAGCTCTCCGGTCACGAGAACGTCTACAAAATGCACAACCGCACATATTTTATTTACAAGTGCACCCAAACAATTCCCTCACAAACTCATAAACAATGTGTCCCGAGCACTCCCCAGCATGAGGCTCACAAATCAGTAATGCATGACTGCAGCCTGAGAGCTGCTCCTTGAGAATGCCGGTCTGCCTTATCACTGCATCTGCCTGCAACAAAAGCAGATTGTCAAGGCCAGGCTTTGATATATGTATGGGTCTGGTCACCAGGAATGTGGGAATAATACAAATCTCACAACAAGCCCTGTGATGTATGTGTACATTAGAGTAGCGCTGTGTGGACAAGCTAACTCGGGATCATGAAAAAGCCATAGATCTCCTTTTCAGCAGGGTTTAGGTTGAACATCTGTTATAGATATTCATATGCACACGTTCTACATCTGAACACAACTCTGAAGACCTAACAACTTGTTGACTGATCTGTTCAATAGCAGGGTTAAATACAGTCGTCATTTAGGAGCAGAGCATATTAGAAGCGTGTAGAAGCACGCTGTAACCCGACATTACCAAGTCCAGTTAAGAGAGGAAAGAGCTGTAATGCAGTGTAACTTTCTGCTTTTTCATGAACTTATTCCCCTGTGTGCAGAAGAGACGCCCCTCCTGCCAGTGAACAACAGCCAGCAGGAGTACTGCATAACCAGCGATGGAGACGTGCTGCTAGCTGGAGACTCCTGGAAGGCCAACGTCTGCACCAGCTGCACCTGCAACAACGGCACTATTCAGTGTTTCTCTCAGCACTGTCCAGCTGCCAAATGCAGGGTGCCTGTTTTACGCAAGGGCCAGTGCTGCCCACACTGTCTCGGTGAGTGGTTAGAGCGGTTAGAGTTTTAAAACGTTGGTGCCAAATTTGTCTTTAGACCCAGCTTTGATTGTTTTTTATTATACTACCTAAAACATGAGCTTATATTCTATTCTAAAATTAAAGTTTACATAACACTTCTAGTCAAAGTGAAAAGCTTGTTGATGGGGGAAAACCGTCATTCATAACCCTGCACGTCAAAAAGGAGGGAGGAACTGAGGGAATGCCAGCGTCTGGACCGTTTGTGTGTTTGTTCATTAGTCGTAGCCACTCTGGCGCTACATAGGCAAACACCGCCACTTGCAAAATATTCCATGTGACACATGCGCACACACATACTCTGCCTGCTCCGAGCATAAACATTCCTCGAGCATCTGCACATTCACGTTTCCTCTGCAGTGGCACAGGAAGGCAAAGTTCCATGTCAGCTTTTCCTACAGAGGAAACCCTCAGCATAGGCTTCCATTGTTCACCTCCATATTTTACCAGGGCCTTTGTTTTCGTGATATGCCCAGAGGAAAAATGCTCTGTCTTTTCTTTAAAGCAGACACAGCGTATAAACACAGCTGAAACACAAGGGAGTCTATACACCTACTCATGGTTAGACATATTTATGCCTTTTTTTATTGCGTTACACCATTCATATTTGTAATGGATCTCATTTCTTGTTCCTGTCTGAAAAGAAATGACGACATCAGTGCCGGTGATAGTGTCGACAAGCCGCCCCAAGGCGAGAGTTACCACGACAGCGGAGAGTGCGGTGTGGCTCACCACTGTCGCTGTGCCGCCCATCATTGCTGTTACAGGTACCTGCTTTTACAGACTTCTCCCCCCCACAGCCGTCTCCACTGACGTCCACTCCCCAGTTCCTTTAGTGCACTACAGTAGTAACCATACATGAGTAATTTGGCATATTTGCTATACTCTGCTGCCAATCCCAGTGAGTGTTTATACTAATAGAGTGTGTTAGGAACAACTTGATAAATGAATGAAATACATACTAACTCATGTTGAAGTAAACAGTAATGATGAATGGGCATAAGCAAAACATGATCTCCATGGAACAGGAGTTAATTCTTCAGCGTCAGCGTTTGAGGGGCGATACAATGAAGTCAACAACAACAGAAAAAAAAAGACCTGTTTTCAATTTAGAGTTGGTACATAGTGCTGGCTCCATAACGAGCACGCTGTCATCGGGATAAATATTCAAAATAAATGTTGTCTTTGTTCCACAGATGAGCCACGTTCGGGTGAGAATTACCCCAGCCAAACAGAGATGGCTCTCATCTACCAATCAGCCGCCTGGATCCTGGCAGGTCTCCTCTTAGCCATCGTGATCTTTCTCATCGTGGCGCTACTCATCAATAAGAAGAAGAAGTGGGTGCAGATGTCTTGCTACAGTGCGCCAAAGAAGGTGAGAAGTCTCTTGCTGAGGTCGACACGACTTTAGGATTCTTTCAAATGAAACACGATCAGGTCGTTCATAAAGTCTCTACCATGAAATGTGACTGTGGTAGCTGATTCTACACTGCAAGAAATGAAAACATCAGAACTCGATGGTAAAAAAACCATGTTGATATTTGCACTAATATGGACTGGCTAACGTGTTGGGAACAAAAGGATGCCACATTGTTTGGTGGAAATGAAAATTAACAATCTACACTGAGATGAATTCAAAGACACCCAGAAGAAATGATACACCAGGCTAGTCCACTTTGATGAAATCTCACTGCAGCAACTCCACCAGTTGTGGGACTTGCCAATTCTGGTATTCTATGGCAAGTGCCAGTCAGGGCCGACGCTGTTGGGCAGTGATCCTACTAGAGGATGTCAGACCTGCAAGCCACTCTCATGAAGTCTGTTTCTGATTGTTTAGCCAGAGACCTTCACACCAGTGGTCTGCTGGAGGTCATTTTGTAGCTCTGGCAGTGCTCGTCCCTCCTTGCACAAAGGAGCAGATACCGGTCGTGCTAGTGGGTTGAAGGCCTTCTATGGCCTTATCCAGCTCTCCTAGAGTAACTGTCTGTCTCTGAAGCTCTTCCATGTTCATGAGACTGTGCTGGGAGACACAGCAAACCTTCTGGCAATGGCAAGTACTGCTGTCCCATCCTGGAGGAGTTGGAGTACCTGTGCAACCTCTGTAGGGTTCAGGTATCTCCTGCCAGCAGAGACACTGACTCAGCCAAAGTGCAAAACAGGCGAAAAAAGAAAACCGTAGGAAAAGTTGAGGAGGGAAAATGTCGGTGGCATCCAGCCTGTTTGGGGACACTACAGTGCACCTGTTGTGAATTTCATTAACACCAAAGCAGCTGGAAGCAATTAACAACCCACGAGATCTAGTTCAAAACTATTGTTGTCCATTCCACGGACTAACCTCAAATCTCGTGGTGATAGATCCTTCTCTGTGGCAGGTCCCAGACTTTGGAATAGTCTCCCCTTTAATATTAGATCTGCTCAAACTCTTGAGCAATTTAAATCTTTACTAAAGACACACTTTTATGCTCTGGCTTTTAACACATTATGACCCAAGCATTTTGGATTTATCTGAATTAGTTAGTATTGTTTCAATTCTTCTATTTTATTGTTTCTATTGTTATTATTGTATTACACTGTAGTTTTTAATTTTATTGTTATTGTTAAGCACTTTGTGCAGCATCGGCTGTTGGAAATGTGCTATATAAATAAATCTGACCTTGACCTCTGCTACATAACTGACCAGATCAATGTCACAGAAGTTGAGTGTTCCTTTCATTTTTTTCTTTTTAGCAGTGTATTATTTTTAGTACAAACAGGTGCAACATGGCAACCTGTCACTGCTTATTAGCTATGATCTGAACTACAGCAATAATCTACCAACCAATGATTTTGGTCCTTTTGCACCACAGACAGTGATCCTGAAGAAGCACGTCAACAAGAATTCAGTGGTCTACATGGAGCCTTCGAAAGACAACAAATTTCACAACGTGAAGAACGACTGCGGCATCATTCACTTCTCTCCAGAAATGAGCTCCCCCTGTACGGAAAAGTTGACCATCCCCAGGGCCAAACTGAGCATGGGCAATGACTGGACGCCATGCTAAAAAACAAAGGAACAAAAAAACACCCCTCAGACTCTGCAGCTCAGAGCTGTCTGGCACATCCCTCTCGTTTCTGTTGCATCCAAGGTGGTTAATGTAACAGCACACACACCTTGGGCGCTGCCTTCTTCCCACCATTCTCTGTGTGACAGTAAAAACAAGGATGCTCTTCAAGACTAAGCAAGTTACCACTGACTCTCACATTTTATGCCCTCATTCTTCTGTATTTGAACGCTCGGGCGAAGGGACTTTCTGTGAGGTAGATGGACGGGTGGACATATAAAAGCACGGAAGAATGCGGCAACCAGACAGATTTCTCTGTGAAAACCAGACTTTGACTGTGAACACTGTAATATACCTGCTTATTATTGCCTCCTTTGGAACTGGAACCTTGGGGCAATAAGAGGAGCATAAAAAGCTTTAGGACAGGGGTTTGGGCAGAAGTTTAAAGGGAGCATAGGTGCTGCCCTCTTAAGCAGTGCTTCATTGTGGTTGTAATCATTGTCATTAGCAGGGAGGCCAAAGGAACTTTTAATCCAGCTGGATCGAAAATTGGTTTCTGCATCCAAATCAAAACAAGTCCGTAGGCTTCATATTGACCTCCAGATCCAAACCCCTGCTTTTCAATGTGTGATTTCCATGTTTTTTTTTTAAACTTCTAAAGCCTTTTTACTAGATATTGTGTTTTCCTTGCACACTCTTTGCTTTTAGAGTGGGTGTCTATGTGGGGCCAGAGTGGAACATTTTAAAAATAGTAGTCTAAACACCCACCTGCCAAAACCCATCACAGGAAGGACACATATCCCAGCATTATTTCTTTCATTCCAGTCAAGTCTGATAACAAACTGCTTTTATGCAAAAAAAACACCCGGTTTGGGGATTGTGTGAAATGTGTCTAGACTTGTCTTCGTTATATTAGCCAAGAGTCATAATCTTCGGACCCAGCCTCATCTGATTTTGGCTCTTTCCACGGGAATCTGCCACTCCAACTCCCAGATCTCAGAGTGATCTTCATCCAGCTAGAATGTTATTTTATTGATAGCAGGTGAGACAAAAGGGTTCAGACACTTCATCTGGGCCTGTAAGGAATGTCTTTGATACCATGCCTCACTTCACATCTTCATTCACAGCTGTGTGTGTTTGTGTGTGTAGGGAGCTACTGTTCTTACTTGCAAGTGATTGTTAGTAGTAATTCTTTTAAAAGCCTTAATTTTATAGCCTTAACTAATTTCTCTGTTGATGTCTTGCAGTTGGTTAACAACCATAAGCCCGTATCAGGAAAAAAAGAAAAATCCCTCATTGTTACCGAGATCGTGTTGTGCCGTTCTCATTAGCTCTTCAAATAAGAGAAAATTACGTGATTTGTAAGAGTAGCTTGCTGGCATCTGTACACAGTGGTACATGTTGCAACATCAGAGCATATTAGAAACGTAGCACTTTCTTTAGAGCCAGTGTTTTAGAAAGCCCACTGCGGGATTCTTGGTGGGATAAAGGCCCTAATCAGGGATTTGATAGGCGTATTAAGGACACAGAGATGTTAAACCACTCAAGCGAACATGCTGTTGCAGCTAGATTCTCCATATCAGTCTGATCGGTATGTGGTCGGACAGTATCTGAGAAGCGTTATGAAATATGTTGGGGTTTCAAAGCAACGTGTTTCGGATCAGAGTCCATTGCCAATATCTCGATACAAAGATATTTGATGCCAAAATTGGTCGGAGACCAATTCATGTGTTTTAGCAACTGAGTAGATCTGTATCTGTTTTAATCAAGAGTATGTGCTTTAAAATGAAGCGGTGACTGTAAAAGCTTACGCAATTCTTTGTTCTTCTACGTGTAAAAAAAACAAAGTAGCTTAAAAAAAGTAGAGAAGAGTACCTTATTTATTTTTTCACATAGCTTTATTTATTAATACTTAACTCTAGTTTGAGATTTTTTTGGAAAATGAATTTTTAGTAGCCAAAGCTGCTGTACATTGTAGACCATTTACCGTTTCTTTCTACTATATTCTGTACAAGCTTATTTATTTCTGTGTTCAAAATCCTGTAAATATGTTTCTTAGGTGATGAACTGTAACATTTACACTTATTTTGAAAAATAAATGTGTGAACCAAAGTGGCACTGAGAAAAAATTCAACTGCGCTGGAGCAACAATTCTCCAAGGTGCAGTGATGTCATCCGTTAAGTGGTTTCTGCTTCTCTTGCAGGCACGTTTACATCCGCTCCTGGACTTTAAATTGAGTCTTTGGTACGGGTCACAAGCACAAAGCAAAAAGACCCGGGATAATAAAACACCAGAAAACACAAAGACATGCAGGCCAGACCAGAAACTCTGGGACTGTGCTGTTGTTTTGACTCGTCTGATAGAGCTTGCTGATAAACTGCAAGGTGCTGAAGCTTCTCCAGAAAGATTACTTGGAGGAAAAGTCAGAGTCCCATGCCAAAAATATGTCAAACAATGCATCTAACAAGTTGTGTTACTTCACTTAATGTTTTGAGCATTACAAAAATATCTTATCCAATCTCTTCGGCATTTTAGTGAGGGTTAGAAATGCAGTCCTGTGCAAAAGCCTTGTGCTATGTGGAAAGGGTTTGATTGGCAATGTCTTCTTTTGGCAAAAAAATCTAAATCCTAAAAAGTGCCAGTGCAGGAAAACCATACGTGGGTAGGCCTCCCCAGAGCCTGGACCTCAACGTTATTGAAGCAGTGTGGGATCATCTTGATAAAAAGAGAAGGTAGTCAACATTTAAAGAAGAGCTTTGAATGTCCTTCAAGAAGCCTGGAGAACTATTCCTGTAGACTACTTACAATTACAAGAAAGCTGTGTAGGAGTTCAGGCTGTGCTGAAGAGGAAAAAAAGGCGTCACGTCAAATATTGTCTTTCAACCTTATTGTGTTTTTGCCTTGGATACTGCATTGACTTGCATATTTCCCTCCATTTTTAAATGAAGCCACATAACTGGGATGTGGCTCAAGAGTTTTGCACAGTATTATTACAGTATTTCAAATAATTTTTCATCAGCATCCTTTGGCGTTAGATTCCATCGGGTTGAAATAAACACACACAGGTCACAGCATGTGGGGAAAAATATTTATTCACACTTTGCATCCTGTACCTAAGAAGAAATGTATCTGTACTCATGACACATTCAGTAAAAAGCCCTCCTCTTAAATTCTATACTTCTATTAAGGCAATAAAGTCCAGTGAACCTCTTGTCAACCTTTGTTGAGGACCACGAAACACTGAAGGGTTTTGGGAACGTTGGGAGAGATCGGATCAGATAGCTGGTTTACCATTCACCACAGTGAAGAAGTTCATTTGTATCTTTGGGACTCACACCTTCCAAATGGAAAGCGTCAGTGTTCTCAGCAGATTTTGTTGGTCCAAGGATAAAAACTGTCTCTGGGAGTCTGCTGCCTGAAGCAAAGTGGAATATCTCCCAGGCAATCCCTTGGCTTTCACAGAAGAATCTTGTAGTAGTCGTATTTATAGCTGTACAAGATCACCATAGCCACCCTGTAACAGAAGATTTGTTTGCAGATTTCAAAAAACATTAACAGAAGTATGCTTCAGCTAAGTATCCAACCAACCAAACATGAACTATGCTCCCAGGCTTCCATCCCTTCTGGTCCCAGGTTATGGTGTTCAATAACGGCCTTTGACCTTTTCTGGATGAAATCCCATAAACATTTTGTGAAATGTTGTCAGAATTGGCATCTGAATTCGACAGTTATGGTCAAAAACAGTCCTCGACCATCGAATCAGGTCACCTGTTAGTACCAAATTTAAAGCAATGCCCATAAGGACATAAGGTCACTGGAAACTTGACCTTTGACCATTAAATTCTAATCAGCACATCCTTTAACGTACATGTTAGTATGTAATTTTAAGTAATTCCCTTAAGGCCCACAGGTAGCATGGACATCGTCACTCTTGACCACGGCTGTTTGGGGTTTGGAAGAAATTTGAACTGGAATGTCTCCAAATCCAGACAACGTGATTCACCCAGGATGTTTTCTAGAAACGTCCAAATTTATCCCACTCCTTTGAATTCATCAGTGCACTCCATACAGACTCAAATTACCTGTACTGTAAAGCCACTAGAGGGCGACTGTGATGTTTTAGGCTTCATATTTGTAAGGCTGTCAAGCTATCCATGCAGTAGTGTTGAAGTGTATGGAGTCCATGGCAGGAGAAATGTTTCTGAATATATTTCAAACATGAAAGTTCCACTCTTGAAGAGCCTTAAGCGGAGAGTTGAGGCAGAAAACCGCAGCTTTAATGAACAGTAGACAGGTATGTATTAAGTGGCTCACTTGCAACAATTCATTTGCTCTGAAAGCTCAACACTCCCAGGCTATTCCTGAATTCAGTAATATCCTGGAGGCCAAATGGAAACCTCTGGCAGGCCGGATGTGGCCCTCGGGTTGACATCCACTGATGTGCATGCTTCCTCTATGTCAAATCTTTCATTGATACAAGGCTTATCAGACCAGGAACAAGACTGAGACTGTCCTATTAGGAAACGAAGACACGCAGTGTTAAGGTGAGAGGGCTACATCACTAATTCTCAGTTCCCCGACTGGCTTCCAGTAAAATCTAGAATTGAATTGAAAGTATTACTTGTAGTTTTCAAGTTAATAAATGGTTTGGGGCTATAACATATGTAAAGTCTTCTTCTAGATCTGGTCAACTCCAGATCCTCCAGAAGTATTTAGAGTGACTGTGGCTTTAAAAGAAATGAAGCTGCCATTCAGCTCGCTCGACTCAGCTTTGAGATGAGGGAATGGCCTCAAAAACCTGAGTGGAAATTGACACAAGCTATCACAAGGACTAAAGACAGACCCATGATGATGAAGTTCAGTGCATCTATTTGGTTTATTGAAATATACCTGAAGCAGACTCAGCTGCGCTTTGTGTTTAACAATAATTAGCCGATGTTGGCATTTTAAAAGCCTCAGATGGGGTAAAAATACACAGTGGTGGGAAAAAGCTTTGTTTGATCTCCATCTAACTCACAAATATATACAAACACAACGAGACTAAACTAGTAAACTGTAAGTAGATGAATGTCTCATGTTGCTTAAAGTGCTGATTAAAAAAAGTAAGTGAGCGTCTAACCTCAAGATTTCTCTGGATTCAGTTGAATAAAGAAGGAATAACTAATAATAAGGTGTAACTTCAGGTCCTGCTACAGCTACGTAGCTGCTGCATGAGCCCTTCATCCTACTCATCTTGACTCGGTTGCATGTGCCCCACATTCAATGAAAACCACTAGACAAAAGAATAAAAACACATGCCGACTCCATCCATTGCTGCCTCTGCGACGCTCATTTATCAGGAAAGCCTTTTTCCCCCCTTAATGGCGACTCACACAGCACAGACAGGAAATTAAAACCAACTGTTCTGGAGAGACGAAGAGGAAGCCAGAATGAGAGGTTTGGATTTTTCTTGCTGCCATCTCATTCATGAAAGAGAAAATCTGCTGGATCCCATCACAGGCTTTGGGCACTCACAACACTAGAAGCTCAAACACAGGATTTACCCTGGAACTTGGGCGGGACATTACGTTTGGGAGTATGGGAATTTAAATTTTTCCATCTACACTAGAGAAATGGATGGAGCTGACTCGCCCCTTGTCAGTCTATTGGGGTGCCAAGAGCCAGACGTAAGACCAAATATAGCAAATCCTTCTCCAAATTCTATGTCAGGAAATGGGATCAGCTGAGGATTTAACGTTCTTCTAGGCGGTAGTTATCTGTCTGAAGACTCCTTTTGTTGTACTGGCAGGCACTGATACACCTGGAGTGTGTGGGCTTGGTTGGAGTATTGCAAAGCAGCTTCCTGAAAACGTGTTTCACTGTCTGCATCAGGTTTCAGTTAAGAAAAATGGCTGGACTAAAAATAACTAGCAAGAGGTTTTAGTTAGGAGAGACTTTAAAAAACTCAGAGAGCTCCTGAGTAAAGCCTGGATTATGCTCCTGTGAGGGCACGGACACATGGAGACCTGACGGCAGAAAACTTATTCAGGTTATACTTCTTTGAAGTTCGCTGCCTGGGGCACATACGCAGGATGGTGCATTGTACTAGAAATTTTCAACAGACAAAAGAAGGGAAAGCACGCTCATGCTAACCGTGCGATGATAAAAATTGAAGTCACTCGCACCATGGCGGACTAGAAGAGGCGCAAATACAGTGCCGACTTAAGGAAGTGAAACAAATGTCTATTATTCATGAATTATATCAACAAAACCAGAGAAGCGATGTCGATGACTGCCAACCTTTGAGGCTACAATGTATGGGCATCCAGTACTGCCACCAGAGTGGATGCAGCTTAATGTCAAAAGGTTTTAAGTCCCAGTTTATATCACATGTGATATAAACTGGGATTTGTTAACACGATATGGCATGGAAAAAAGTGATCTGTGAACTGGCCTCTGTATGTCTACATAGACTGTATATGAAGGATGGACATGGCCAAAGAGACTTCACTCCGACTGTCAAGTCTTGAGCTGAGTCACATCTCGGTGTTTTAAAACCAGACGTAACAAGTAATGGGCTGGATCTGGCAAACCAGGGAACACTGCGTGCTCATATGGCAGCAATGAAACTAAATACAGCATTCGATAAAACCTAAAACATGAGAACGTAACCTCATGAGGAAAGTGTGTTAAGTCAGGCCACACAGGAGGAACTGAAGGATCATTTCCCTACAATGAACAAACACAGGAGCCAAACCCTGTCAGCAGGGCTGCTTCCATCTTTTATATACAGTCTCGACTTAAGAATCACAAATAAAGGATTTTGTCGTGTTTCTGATCAATTCAATGTTACATTATATTGATCAAATGTGCTTTTCTTTAAACAACAAGCACATTTCAAAGTGAGCCCAAATGTCTGAGCGAGAGTTTAGCAAGCTGTGAATGCTAACACACTGAACCAATATGATGCACAATTGAACACCACTGCACCTTTTTGTAATCTTGAAGTGGTGGATCTCATCACAGATGGCCTTCAGGTAGCGCTGCTTGGGCAGACGAGACAGCAACGTCTTCACGCTGTTGTTGAACTGCTCTTCGCTATCAAACTGGACGGAAAGGAAAAGAAATGTTTCATTCAAGCAAACAAAACCATCAACAGATGAGATTTAACATCCGAAGCTTTAAACAAAGACCAGCCAAATGGCCCACAGGCCTCATGTTTGTTAACAGACTTCAGAGTCAAAAAACAGACAGCATATCAGAGGAATCAAAGGCTTTATTGTTCCTCTTTCCCCATCTTCAGTGTTGAAGAACATACCTGCTTGTCAAGTGTTTGGTTTCTTGTGTGCCTTGAGGCAATTTCGCCTGTTTAAAACAGGCCCTTTCTGCCAGCGTGGCTGTTACATACTGTGCATTGTTTTATAAGTTTTATAAACTCAATGCGCTGCCAGTGACACATGTGTGCTGCAAAAGGACAACTACATAGGTGGCCCGTTCATTTATGGAGTGGAGGCTTTAGCATTTTCCAGCTTTCTTCACAATATAATTAGTCTGTTTTTCACTTTCCTTAAAGGGAAGCTGGGATTTTATAGCAAGGTCTTGGTAAGAAGTTTGGAATGTGAATATTAGCACCTCCTCAGAGTGCGTTTTGGTACGTCTGTCACATGTGTGAGCCTCGTAAAAGGCTCACAGGTCTCCCCTGCTTTGGAAAACTGTAGCGTTCCTCATCAGACTGTAAGGAAGGCAACGGGATCTCGTCTTCCTGTCTAGGAACTTGACCTTATTGGCCGTTCTTTCCACTCCCCCCTCCCCTTTCAGTGCGATGTTGCCTTTTATTAACTCGGCCGTGCTCTTGATGAAGCTATAGTAGGGAACCAACCTCCAGAGACAGGAAGTTGATCAGCGTTTCCTTCTGAAGGTCCACCTGCGGGATACAAAAACAAGTACGGTTACACAATAAAGCCTTGCCTCACAGTCGAAAAATTCTACACCACAGCTTTTTACACATTTTTAAGCAATTTATGTGCAAAACACAGAACTGTTGCACATTTGGTCCAGAACGTTCTGTAATTCCCTTCCCCCAACATCAGCAGTCCAGTCAGCACTAACATCATAAAATTACATTTTCACAGTGATATCAGCAGAAATGAAAGCACCACAGTTTCTATTTTACAGCAGGAGGCTCATCACTCTCCAGGTTCATCTGTAGCATCAGCTTTGCATATCAGTCTGAGTGACAGAAAAGCAGGCTGCTGACACGCAACACCCGAGACTCACAGGCCTGTGTAACTGCTTACTGGCATCGAGATGATTGTTGTTACGTTTCAGTGACACTGCAGTGTTTATAGAGTCCCGATTCCAACAAGGATGATAAATACATTTGGACCATGCAGCGAGATGGTAAATAAGACAAGAGGGGTGAGTGCACTTTGAGAACGTGGCCACAAATGCACAGCGCAACTGGAAACAAACACCAGCGACCATTTATGTCCCCTAGAAATGCCACGTTAGCTGCTTTCTGTTTAGCGTTTGTTGTTTGATAGGCAACTGGAATTTATTCGCAGTGATCTCACTTCCAGCAGGGGATCTAAAAAGCAACTATAAAAGGGCAGATCCTTAGATGTTTGTTGTTTTAGCTATCAAAACTATTTCCTTCCCCTACGATTTCACACATGAATTCAACAGATAAGGTGGGACGGGGGGGCAAGTAGGTTAGAAATAGGGGATGGAGGGACATAAACACACAAATGACTTACAGCAAGAACCTCAATGTCATTGCTCTTGTTCTGCAAATTGCTACCCAGGTTCTGTAATCTGGTTTGGATCTGAAATGAGAGGAGACGGAGAGAGACCCGTTTAAAAATGACATGGTTACAAATATAAATCATCTTCACAAGCGAAAACTTGTCTTGGTGTCACGTTACAAACAGCATATTCTTCAGGATAACCGCAGGAACGTCTAAGGCAGATGGATACAAGAAAAATAGGAACAGAAACAGCAGCAAATTTCCTGGAAACTCATTTTAGAGGTTTGAAGTTACTAATACTGAGAAACGCAGCTCTGGAGAAATGCCGGAGACGCGGTTACAAAGATCGCAAACCTGAGTCTCGTAGCGTCGTCTGGCGCTGGCAGAAACTTTCTCCGGGCTGATGAGGCTCACATTCATGTTTATGGAGGTGCTGCTTCCATGCTGCTCTGAAGACCCTGGAATCAGAGGACAGTAAACGGGACAAATGAATCGTTTTATCCGACTGTAAATGTTTTTAAATGTCCAAAATCGAGTGTTTAATCGCACACATACAAAAAAAGCTCTGCTTTCAACTGCTGTTCAGTTTAATTAGAGCGTGTTTGTGCCAGAAGGGTGTGAATCTTAATAACTGAGCTCTGATGCACAATTTCACACTTTGTGTAAATCAGGGAAATAGCAAAAAAGGAAATCCAGCATCATAAGAAATACTTTGAAATTATGTCTAAATTACACGTTTTTACCACAGGAAAGCGATTTGTTAGAGTCAAATCAGTGTGTGAAACACGAGTGTGATGCTTTCATGCCGTGTGATGTTACAGCCTATGAGAGGATCATCAGAATAAGCTGAGCGTGGTACCTGTGCTGGTGAGCAGTGATCCTTTGGGGTTCTGTAGAGTCGTGCTTTCACAGATTTCTCTGCTGAGGAACAAGGAAGACATTTTTTAACCCCTTCTGCATCCTTCACACACATCTGAGCGACTCGTTAAACCAAAACCTTTTTTTTTACCTGATGTTTCTCTCATCGAGGAATTTGTACCGACATTTCTGAATGACGTGATCCACCAAGTCAGACTCAAGAATCCGTTTCTCCAACTGTCTGTCTTTCTCAAAGCATTTTACCTGGAGGACAGAAAAAGCGACAATCTGCAATGCTACCGGCAGGTTTCTCCAGCATTTCATTTCACTCAAATCCTGAGTGTGTTGCTGGGAAGTGGATGTGCTTGGATGGTGCACAGATGGTGCTTACCTTCACATAGGATCCCTCTTTGTCAGAGACGAGAACCATGCATGTGATGCCGCCTAGCTTGCAGTGTTCCAGCAGTGTGTCCTGAGACTACAAACACACAGAGGCAATAATCATCATTCTCAACACACAAGCTGAAATTTAAATGCATAGCTAAGCTATACTCCATTAGACCTTTATGATGACAATGGTCAAACATAATCAAACACATATGTTGACCAATGAAGTAGCATGCTGAAGATGTTGGCTTGTTTGAGGCCAAATTCTCTGAGAACAAGCTTTTCTTTCATTAATTACTTAAGAATCCCAAATTAGGCTCGGAAACATACAGTAATTACATAATTACAGCGTCACGGTTGCCAATTTCAACCCTGACTGATCTAGTTTCTGAAACAAAGGGAGAAAAGCATGCTTGAGTTACCGCTGAACACCAAGCTGAGGCTTTAAAATTCTCCTATCGTGGCACTGGTTCATTTGAGTTTCACTTAGAACTAGAAGAGTGATCATGAGCTTTGATGTACATCCAGGTAATCCATTCAACCGTAACAGTGAACACGTATGTTTGCGATTCGTGTCGGCCTAATTCATTCTGATGAACTTTCGTTTTGGCTAAACGAACTGTTGGCGGTGCGGAACAAAGCCCCAGCACAGCAAGTGTATGTTTATGCGCGTCACTTTTCCTTGTCATCACACGAGCGTTTACACTTCCATTTTTCTTACAACTTTCACACCGACAGATCAAATCATGTCAAAGGTAAGTTATTGGCTGGAGCCAGATGGGCAGCTCCACTACTTGGCTGCCTGCCTGCGGAAGGGGTTTGCCATATTTGTCTAATAAAAACGAAAAGAGTGGAACCGTCTCCAGAGGATGAAGATGAAGATGAAGATGTTAAGAGGCCGGCATGGGAACAGTGCTAACAAAAGCCTAGTGAGCGGCAATGACAGCCGAGCGGGTTTGGACGAGGTCTCCTCTGGTAAAAACCTGCGTGCTGTGCTCAAGTCTAAGCCACGTCTAACTCTTTATACTGGTGCAGTGATTAATTAAAGCATACATGGAAATACGACATATAAAAAGGTAAAAACAGAGTTTGTACAATTCTGATGAGCTAGAAAGTTATAATATTTGGTGTGAGCAGCTTTATTCATCGACACAGCCTGAACTCTCTTAGAAAAGTTTCTCATCATTTCTTTAAGTAGTCTTCAAAAATACTTCTCCAGGCTTCTTGAAGGACATTCAAAGCTCTTCTTTGAAAGTCGGCTGCCTTTTATTTCATTCTCTTTTAAGATGATCACACACTGCTTCAGTAATGTTGAGGTCCGGGTTCTGGGGAAGCCAATCCACGACTCCGTGTTCCTTGGTGTGTTTTTCTCTCCATGTATGCTTTTACTGCAGTGGGTTTGGGATAACTGTCATTATTGAAAAACTGAAGCTGTTACCAATTAGATGCTTTCCAGATGGAACTGCAATAGTGGATCAAAATGTGACAGTACTGTTCTGCAAAATCCCCAAAATTCAGCCGCGAGCCATGACAGAGCCTCTGCTGTGCTTGCTGTTGTACCGCTCTCCTGATCTCCTCCATACAAGCACATGGCTTTGAGATACTGTTCATCTGCTGCAGAGAGATGCGGGGGCCCTAAAAACTATTGTCCCCCACTTGGTGAGTTTCCTCAAATCTGTGTTAAAGACACACTCGCACATGTCAAGTTTTCAGCTAACAGCTCTGAATGATTCACCTTTTTGGTAAAAAATGACTATTTAATGCCGGTTTTTCGTAGATTTAGCTACAGAAAAGAAAGAAATGATGTGTTTCGTCTAAAGATACAATTTCAAATTGGTTCTTTGCTAAATTACATGTTATGTGTGTAGACAACACCGGTTCATCCCTTTAGTTAGGCGTCTTTTTCTGCTTGAACGATTTTCTGATCTCACTGCGAACGCAGAAACGGGTAACACAGATCGACGTGGCTCAAAACTTTTGCTCAAACTTTTACATAATCTACAAAAACACACTTGATAATTTGGCTTTCATCCAAACGCAACTTTTCCTAATTGCTTGTAAGAAAACAGAGGAGCCAATCGCTCGTGTCCTGTGCCGGTACATAAGACAATGAAAGCCGCTATAAAGCAAACACTCACTCACCACAGCAGTGGAAAGTTAAGACAACAATAGGTTATAAAGAGCAGAGCAGGAAAAAACAGGAGGGGCATTAAAATGTGGGCACACAGCTATGCCGGAGAGGCCGTTCATGCAAACGTGCACAAAGGGGACTGAGATCAGTTGGTCACATTATCGTGAAGAATGTGACGGAGCCGTGGCATCGCGAAGTTTTGGACGGCTTCACTTCGAGGGGGTTGATGTCAGCTCGGCTATCATCCAATCACAGCTCTCAAACTGCTAACAAGATCTCATCAAAAGACTTTATAAGAAGTGTGTTTAACATATGTTGTCTTTGTTTGTAGAAATTGCCCCATTATATTGCCCCAGTATGGCCAGTAATGCTCTTTGAAAAGCAGCCACAGAGCTCATTCTGTGGCGCATTTACCATTTTTACTACTTGCTGTCACACTAAGGCTGCTGGCAACAAGTGAGGGTTTTTCCTTTAAAATAGAAGTCAAGTGTTGCCCTCTATAGGAGGGATGAGATTACTACACTCCATGAGGGGGTCTCAGGGTTCACCTTTAAATCAAAACTGGTTTGTTCTGGTTTTATGAGTGGAACCAGTTAAAGACGACTAACCTGTGAAACATCGTAGTTGATGTCTGCAGCGATGCCGGTGCTCCACAATTTCTGAACAACCCTGATGGCTTTGGACATCGAAGAATGGCCCACAGGGACCACCAGCACATCACAGGAGCTCACTGTTGGCTGATACGAAGACAAACAAATACGGTCGCACAAAGCAACTACGTGCAAATGCATTTAGTCTAATCTTATAGAAGCAGGGAGCTGCAGTTAAAGCATTATGTGTTCAGCAAAGGAGTCATTCCAGGTATTTATATGTGCACGAAGCTTTCGGGGCACATCGTTTCACAATCTCCATCTAAAATATAGAAAATGATGCACCTCCAAAAATAACTCCGTGGAGCAGCGGTGATCATAGTTATTAACAGGTTTCTAAAAGTAGCTGTGTGGCAGCCCGACTGCTCTATGAAGCCATCATTAAATATGAAACCATCTGCTGCTCCTTCATTATAATAATTAGCAACGTCAGATTCAAGCGTGTGTCTGTGTCTCTCACTGGCTCCTCCATGCTGACTATAGCAGCGCAGACTTTGTCCACGGCGACACTGGCCCCCACTGCGCTGGGGACGGGTCCTGTGGAAACCGGTCCACGAAACTCCAGGATCTAGAAAGGCAGGGAGCAAACTGCATGATATAGGCCCATGTTTTTCAAATAAACAGCTACAGGTGATTAGTATTAGTGGTGGCCTGGCTTTACTTTGTGGAATGACTGTAAAGCCTACCAAGTGGTCGTAGCGTCCTCCGGCTGCCAGAATATCTGCTACGGTTCGTCTGCGCTTCCTGATGAAAGCCACAAACTGGAAGATGACTCCTGAGTGGTGCTGCACTTTGTACACTAAGCCTAAGTTGATCACCACCTATAAAGGAGATACAGCTTTATTTTTTTTTAAAAAGCTAAACAAAGTACAGCAGATACAGCAGGTGTTTCCTTATCCTCCAGAATCTGTATCACCATCAGTTTAACTCCAAGTTTGGGCAGAAGCACAGTGAGCTCCTCCAGGTCCTTGAGACCCTGCTTGGCCAGCTGGGTAACGGCAGTTTTTTGCTTGGTGAGTGATGACAGCAGCGGCACCAGGTCCTGCAGATTCCCCTTCTGTTCTATGTACTTGTACAGAGTCTGCAACTGAAAGCGAGAGGTGAGGAGAGATGTCAGTGCGACTGAGCATGAGCTTCCCTCCATGACTTTCTGCCAGAAAGCTCTTTTCAGTTTTCAGTAGCAGTTTGGTAGACAGCAAAACTACAAGCTCAGGTTCAGGACAGGATCACCGTGTGAGTTCAAATACAGCTGCTGAAAGGCTGCAACCATACCTTAGAGAGCCAGTCTGGCACAAAGCCTTGAATGCAAACTTCTCACATGTGCTACCAGTGTGCTGAATATTTTTTACAGAAGGTTCATACACCAGGTGGACACTCACACAGTTGGCTGACAATGAAAAGTTGCAGAACTTTGCCTCCGCTTCACGTTTGCTGAGTTTCTCACTCTGGAGCAGATGCAGACCAAAAGGAAAACAAAAGAAAAAAGGTGATAAAAATGTCACGACTGCATCTGCTCAAAGGAGCATATCAATAACAGACGTGCAACGTGTAACCCGGACTGACCATAAGGTCACACAGTATGTTAGAGGCCTGGCTCAGTTTGTCCTCCGGGACGCCGCTGTGCAGCAGGACGGCCTTAAACAAGCTGGTGTGGTTTAGGTAGATGTTGTAGTTCCTTTCCTGCAGTCACAAACACACCTTCAACATTCTCAGACACAATTACAGTCAAAATTTAAAAGCACTGCTTCACAATGAGCACTGCGATGAATAATGACCCGCTCGTCCGGCTGCCCTTTCATTCTTTCTGACTCACAGATTCCTAAAAGCTTTTACACAAAGAGCCGAGCGATGGAGAGGATCAGAAACAAGACCTACGAGGCCAGACACAAAGTTGGACTGGCTTCATGAAGCATGCGAAGAGTAGCGCCGCTGACGGGGCAATGGAATGAATCGGGACAGGAAATGGACTGTACTGGAAGGGAGGGAAGGAAGTTGACAGAGCGGTGCATAACAGATTTACTAGATAAACAATAAATAGAGTGTAAATCTGTCAGGCTTACACATACTTTGGAACGTTAGGAATGTGAGTGGGAAGTAAGAATCGTGGATCTGACCCAACAGTCTGATTAAAAACATAAAAATATAACAACAACACGAGCAGCTTGTGCGTGACCTGCAGCACGGGGAACTCCTGGATTATTTCAGAGATGGTGTAAATGATCTCGGCCTCAGGGAGCAGGCTGTTGCTAACAGGAGTGATGATGTCAAAGGCGCACTCCAGGAGCTCCCTCGGGTGTGCGCGGTCCAGCTTCTTGGGCCGGAACACTCGTTCAATGCTGTACCTTAAGAGAGATGAAGAGAAACACACGTCCAGCATGAAAACAGGCTTTTTCAACAGATACACAAAAACCTACTTGGTACACGCTTCAGGTGTTAGCACGACCCGTGAGCACAGCCACGAGTTTCATTACTTTCAGCTATAAAGTGGAGAGGTTAAAGGTTTACCCAGGTAATGAAAAATAACATAACTCGACAAATAAAAAGGAACACTGTGCGTTCTTGTACCTGACTGTTTTCAGAGGAATATTTTGTTTAACCCTAAGATACAATTTCTTCCCATTTCTTTAGCTGAATCTATCAAAAATACTAAAGATAACAGTTTGACGGGCATAAAACATTTTTTGCACCAATAACAGCTCTTTGAAAATCACCTGATACCAAAACTCGCCATGTCTGCATGATGTACAGTGTGTCCTTATAACGGCGAGGAACAAAAAGCCAAAAAAAGATGAACTGTATCTTAGAATCATGTCAAATAAAATATAATAAAGACTCGACACAGGACTTGGTAGAAATGCTCATTCCTAAAGAAGGGAAACATGGAGAGAGGTTTACCAAATGACACGAACAGAACTGAAAATCTTTGGCAGGTTTTATAGTGTTATGGATACAAAATGAGAAACTTTTAGTTCAAATCAAAGCCAATATGTACAGAGGAGGTCAAGACAAATGTGAGTGTCTACAGCCATCTGTAAAACCAACAAGAAGAGGTTTGAATGTCCTTAGAAATGAATGGAGAACTATTCCTGACGACTATGTGAAGAAAGAATAAGAAAGCTTACCTACGAGAGTTCAGGCTGTGTTCAACAATAACTTTCTAGCTCATTGGAAGTGAACAAATTGAGTCTTTTCATAAACATGTTGCCATGTTTCAATAAACCGCTGCATCTATTTCTCATTTTCCAAGCAAAACATAAAGAGTAAGGGGTGGCTCAAGACTTTTGCACAGTCCGGTATGTTTAAAGAAGGGGGGGGGCCTTGATAAAGTATTGATTGCAGACACAAAAGCATATAACTTTCTTTAAACACATTAAAACACAAATTACGTTTGTTTTTTCTTTCACATTTTCTATTAAATATTTTTAAGAACATTTAAATGAAAAGATTTACCTGATAAACGAGCATCATTATAATTACTTGTGTGCACACAAATGGTCAAAATGACTTCTCAATATAAACTTTACCGTTTCAGATGTGTTACATTGTTGCGAGCGACGAATCTTGCAAACGCGATCTAAAGAGGAAGGAGGAAAAAAAACAAGAGTTGAGACATTGGGTGCACTTGTATAAAGACAGTGAAGTCTGTGCATACCAGGCTGTAATCAATGTGTGGAAACAAGCATTTGGTCCTCGGGGTTCCTGAGGCAGCGGGATCTTAAGGCGGCTGCTGATTGCAGCCTCACACTGTGTGTGTGTTTGCATGTTCCTATGTAAATAGTTTTATGATTGGCGCTCTGTGTGCATGTGTGGACACGTAAACCAGGCTCCGTGTGTGTGTTAAACTCACGCGAAGGTCATAGGGCAGCGTAACCAGCATTCCACTATGGTCCATGAAGCAGGCCAGCTCAATGCCATCGTACAACTTCCTGTTCCTGGGGAGGAACAGCGGGGTCTGGACACGCACGGCACCTGAAATCAAACACATTGCTGCTCCATCTTCATAAACCACAATGACCCTGTGATAACTGATGCATGTGAACAGACAAACTGCGCATAAACAAACAAGTACAGCTGGACATCATCAGCAACGTGCCCAAAAACAACACTCGCACATGCACAGAATCTGTGCTGCCCAACAGTACGCTTATTGTTTAGCTGCCTCTCACTGCTGCAGATGTTGGGGTCTTTAAAAAGGAGTCCACGTAGTGTCAACAAAGGTCGCGTTCACATGCACGCACTCGACAGACACGTGCACTCACCGTGCTTCTTGAAGATCCTGGTGATGCTTTCGTACACATGCTGCTGCAATTTGGCATTGTTGAAGCTGAAGCTGCCCTGAAGGGAGAGCAAACAAACAGCCTCTGTCAGGGATCAGGAGACATCGACTAAGCACTAACAGGCCTTGTGCTCATCTGTGATAGACCAGATGAGAGAGCCAGCTTAGAAAGAAAGAGTGCAGCTATTCCTTTGCCTACAGTGCCATCTAGAGGTAGAGAAGGGAAGAGGTGGATTTTCTTCCATGTAACCCTCCTGTTATGTCGTGAGTCAGATTGACCCAGAACAGAAGAGATGTCACATGTCATCTGCATCACTACAGAAAACGAAAAAAATCACAATTATAAAAGAAAATTGTAAAATAATCAATGCCAGTGTTTCTGACACTTTTGGATGAGTAAATTTGCCCCGGGTCAAATTAACCCAGGAGCATAATTGGTGTTCCTGGAAACCAACATAACAGCAGGGTTAAGCAATCCTTACAACAGATAGTATGACCTGAAAAAGCACAGGTTTGCAATCATGTTATTTAATCCATACTCTTGGACTTGTATGTCTTATAAACACGAATCAAAAAATTAAAGGAACACTTTAAAAACACAACAAATCTCAATGGGAAAAACATGCTAGCTGTGTACACTGACACGGACCGGGTAAGAAATAAACATGATCAACTTGCAGTGGGCTGAATTCAACGACACGCCTAAAATCAAAGTGAAAAGTGATGCAGCAGGCTAGCCCATTTTTGCTGAAATTTAACTGCAGCAATTCAAAATGGCACTTAGCATGCATGGACCATGTGTGCTTATGCCTGACAACACTGGGGCGTGCTCCTAATGAGATGACATATGGGCATAACTGAGCTCTAGGCCTGAGGTCCAACTTGGTGGCGCTGGTTGGACTGAAACCAACGTCCCAGGGATGCGTTATTGCATTTAGATTATATGAGCATGTTATCAATTCCTTCATCCTCTGGGAAATGCCTGCATCCTCTCGACATATGATGCTGGGTATTGTTGTGTACTAGGAAGAACCCAGGAGCCACTGCACCAGCGCAGGATCTGACAATGGTCCATCGACTTCATCCAGATAACATTTTTATGGTGATGAGTTAAGGACCTTCTACGGCCCTGTCCTGCTCTCCTAGAGTAACTGTCCGTCTCCTGGAACCTCCTCCGTGCTCTTGAGACTGTGCTGAGAGACACACCAAACCTGGCAACGCCACATATTGATGTGCCGTTCTGGACGATTTGGAGCACCTGTACAACCTCTGTAGGGTCCAGACATCACCTCATGCTACTAGTGACACTGATCCTACCCTAGGCATCGGCAACCTTCCACATGAAAAGAGTCACTTTAGCACCTCCTACTTTCTGGTGGACAGAAGGGCAGATGACTGGGAGAGGATAAGTTATTGCACGCAGTATATGTAATAAAAGGGTAAGGGCTAACCACAGGTTTGCTGACCTTGCCCTAGCTAAATGCAAAACTAGTCAAAAAAAGTCAGTGTCCTCTGCCTGTAAAACCATTCCTGTTTTGGGGTTTGTCTCACTGCTGTCCCTGTAGTGCACCTGCTGTTAATAAACACTGAAGCAGCTGAAAGTGATGAACAACCCCTCTGCTAGTACTGCTTACTCTACTATCTAAAAAAAGTTTACTTTACCTTCCCTTCCCACTCCCTTTAATCCATCTTTCTGATTGGGCACTCTTTACCAATAGAGCACTTGAACAGCAGGTGAGTGACCTCCGATTTGCCAAATATCAACTTTCAACTCAGCTGGGCTTTGAATAGGAATTATCTGTTACACCATCTGAGCACATTATTTGAAAATCTCACATGAATCACAGCTGTTAAAAACAGTATATTAAAAAAATCTTCCAGCATAGTTTTAATCTGACATCCAGCAAAGATGAAGAACGGCTACAGTAAAATAAAATCCACTGGCAAACGCTTGGTCAGCTCAATCAGCTCCTCACCTTGTAGAGGTCTATATCATAAGCGTAATCCATGACTGGTGAGGTGTTCTGGGCGAACAGCTGGGCCACCATGGTGCGGTAGGATTTGCCGTTGATATTGGCCATGGTATGCTGCAGCACTTCGTGCAACTCCGACTCCTCCATCTGGGGAGGAGGCAGAAGTTCGCTCTTTAGCAGCTCCAGGGCAGTCGGCCGAAGAGCCGGGTCGTGCTTCAGCAGCCACTCGATCACCCTCTTCTGGTAGACATAAAGAAAAAGGCAGAGAGAGAAACAGACCGCTGTTAGACTGAGATTTATACAAGGAGAAGAAAGCGCTGTGCAACAGTCATCCTCACCTGTGTTCCTTGCTCACGTAAAGTAAAGTCCTCTGGGAAGATGATGGGTTCCTGTAAATATGAAGGGAAAAAAGAAAATCATGTAAGTAAGGCACCAGGTGCAAAACCCCCCCACCCAGCTTGTTCTCAGTCTCTGACACAAACACACCCCACGCAGCTGACTCAGGACAGCGATGCGCTCGGCCCCCGTGGTCATCGGCCGGTAGGACATCTCAAAGAGGATTATGCCCAAGCTAAACAGGTCAACCTTCTGCAGACAAGAACATGAATAAAAAGTTCTTTAAAACTCGAGACGTTCTCAAATATCAAGTTTTAGCAACTTCTAATTCTCATGCATCCAGACAAATAAGCGAATCTTTAAATTCCTACTTGGTTGTATGTGGCTTTTGTATTTCCCTGAACCTCCGGACTGACATACAGGGCAGTACCGACCATCCCTGTCATGTTACCTGGAGACAGTGATGCAAAATCAATATAGAGCGCCAGTTCAACAGGAATATTATTGCACGGCTATCAAAGGTCTCTTGCACCTGTTGGGTCCGGTTTGGCCATCACCGCAGAGCCGCTCTCCTCCACCTCAAATTTCCCAGCAGCCTTTGAGAGATAAACAGTTGCTTTAACAAGTTATAAGAGCTTCACGAGGAGTTTTACACGTTAATCAAAACAATGAGGCAAAATCAGTGCCGCCTGTCAGCAGAGCGGAACTGAAAGCTGCACGCCACACTGTAATAATGCGTACCACGTTAGCGGGATGATCTGTAGCCAGGCCGAAGTCGCCAATTTTCACGTGGTCCTGTGAGTCGAGGAAGATGTTGACAGGCTTCAGGTCCCTGTGAATCATGCCCTAGAACGAAGGGGGAACATAAGATATTCGTATCTTGGCTTTAGTCACAGTTATACTCCGTCCAATCAGTGCAGCCGCTCCATACCTGCTCGTGGATGTAAGCAAGGCCGTCCAGTATCTCCCTGAAAAGCCTCCATAACCGATTCTGATCCTGATGCAGGCCTTGATCTATTGTGTCTCGTAAAGTGCTCTTTTCACAGTATTCCATCTGTCAGGAACGGAAACCTCGGATTAGATGTAAAACAGGTCTTTGTTGGTAAAAGTGAAGCACGTGGGGGAAGCTTACTTGTATGTACAGGTAATGTGCCGTAATGAGGTGTCGATCTGACTCTGTGCTCTCCGTTGTGTCGGACGCCGGCCTTTTGCTTGGCTCTACCTGTGGGAGGAAACACCAGCTGGTTGGTGCACCACGCCAAACGCTAACAGACATAACAAAACTAATAAATGAAGTGAAAACATTGGAACCTTTGACATCTCGTCCATGCTTTCATCTCCATTATCAAAAATGATGTCACTCCTTGAGTCATTGTTTGATGGCCTGAGTGGGAAAAAAAGAAAAAGAATGTGATGCATGAGCAGTTGGAGGAGGAAGTCGTCCTTTGGAGGAAAAATTTAAAAAAACGTACAAAAAAGAGGCACCAAAGACATCTTCTTCATCATCGTCGTCATCATCATCATCCTCATCATCACTGGACTGGCGTCCGCTGCACCTTGCGCTGGAGGACCTCTCAATGGAGGTGGACCACTCGACTGAGCTGGACAGGGCGGGAGGCGGAGCGATGTCCTCCACGTCGTCAGGCAGGCCGAGCTCGTTGAGGCGCTCCGGTGCATTTTTGCGCTGTGGCGCCTTGTCGGCTGAGCTCAGCGGCTCGGAGCTGTCGGTGTTGCTCAGCACGCCTGTGGCGGGCAATTCGTGCCTCTCGATCCACGCGTTGTAATAACGGACGATATTCTCGTGGTTCAGCCGCGACAGCAGCGTCACCTCGCCTTTGATCCGTCGGAACTGCTTACTGGCTGGGTTCACCTGGATGCGTTTCACCGCGTAGTAACAACCGTCTAGTTTGTTCTGAACCTGGATGCGGGCAAAACACAAAAACTTTACTGCCAGATAAAACGAGCGAGAAGGTTCACACGGGGTAAGTAAATTATTTCAACCCACTTTAATTACAGCACCGAAAGCTCCTTTTCCCAGAAGCTGCAGCTCCTCAAACTCGGAGACAAACCGAGAAATCTGCCTGTGCTGCAAGACCGAACTGAAAGGAGCATTGAGGATGTGACTCCGGGGGATGACTGATGACGCAAAGTCCACAGCTAGATCTGAGAGGCAAACAAATCAACATCTTGAGCAATTTGAAGAAGAGAAATATAAAACTGTTAACGGCTCCTTAAATGCAAGCACTCCCTCAGTATAAAAAATACAAAAATAATCCAAAAAAGGAAAAAAAAAA